CCCCACCCTCCCTTCCCACGACCATCCGGTCTCGGTCCCCTCCATGGAAATTTGTCTGGCAATTTCCTTCTTCGGGGGCGGTGGCCCCATGGCTGTATGTAGCCCGAACCAAGGCTTCTGGATGCAGCTCATGAGTCTGGAGGCCTCATTGAACTCCGGCTGCCTGACGGTGTCTGTGGACGACCGACCTCGCTCGAAGAAGGCCAAAGGTAAACAAATGCATGCGTTGTCGCCCCCCCGCCCCCCCCCCTGTACACGATGCGCATATTCCCTCCTCCCCTTTCTGCGAGGGAATACCTGAAACATGTCCACTTACACACACGCACATATGTTGCTGTGATCGCTCCTCCTTCCTTCGACGATCCAGCGATCAAGGCCGGCGTCGTCCCGTCCCCCTCGGTTGCAGACCCCAACGATTCGCGTCACTCCTCCTTCCCGTCGACCATCCCCGAAGAGGCCGATCCCGAGGAGGGGGCACCGGTTCCGGCTGGCGGCGTGGCAACCTGCTTCACAGCCAATCGCCTGGTGCACGAGACCCCGACGTCCGAGGACTTGCTGGGCACCACCGGCGTTGGGGCCATTGCTTCGGATATCTAGCACCGGATGCCCAGGTGGCAAGAGTGGAGCCGCGAGAGACAGGCACGCCGGCGGAAATGCAGTCCACCTCCCTGCGTCTCCGGCCATACGCACTCATCGCTGCACGCACACACTCATTCACCACCACATCCTCGAGCCCACTACTGCTTTTGTTCCTGAGAGTCAGCGGGGACGGAGGGCTCCAAAAAGACGGACATGCCGAATGTCCGAGTTGGGTTGTTTTTTTTTCTTGCATTCACCCACCCTCTCACTTGCATCTTTGTGCTCCCCTCTGCAGGCAAGGGGAATCTTAACCGCGCACAAGCTCAAGAAGGGAAGACATGTAGAATAGTACAAATAAGTAGAATCCGCAGCAGGTGGCTGGGGACACATCATGGGCGTGTTCGCCCGTGCGCGCGCAGTCTCGCCACACGTAAGGGCATGCATACACCGCAGATGGAGGAGGGAGGACAGGTGCAAACTGTGGTCCTCCCTCGTGGGGGTTTGATGGTGAAGTGACTCGCGGAGAGAGGAGGAGGGGATACACCGAGGAGGAGAGGGGTGTTGACACACGGGGGGAAAGGCCCAGCCGCATTATGCTTTGAGCACGCGCGTGCGGGAGGGAGAGAGGGAGAGAGGGAGAGAGGGAGAGAG